TGGCTCAGCTCCCTGTGGGGAAGGCGGGGTGGGGAGCAGCCTACCCAGGACCGCCCATTTCCAAGCCCTTAATAGGGCTTGAGCTTCCTCTTGCAACCGGGCCATGCATCGAGGACCCCTGCCCAGCTTCACCACTCAGCCACTCCAAGAGTGTATGTATTTTCTTCCTCTCTTCTTTGTTTCCTCCTAAGAATCTCTTATAAAGTTTTTTTACCCCCTTAGAATAACTTCAGTGTCCTTTGGAGCAGAAAGCTCCCCTCATGTGTCTGCCAAAAGGCCAGGGTCACTTGGGTTTGAAGTATCTTTAGTGACTCCAGGATCCCTGGACCAAGACTTCTTACTCCCCTCCAGTTGTGTGTAGATTCTCCTCTGACTCTCAGGTGGATTGGGGCGGGGTGGGGGGCATGTCTGGCGTGAGGACCAGCAGGAGGGCTCTCCCATCACCCACTCTTGGCTGCCATGGTTGGGGGGCTACTGGGTTCCTTAAAGAGCAGATGCTGGTAGATGCTTACCTTGACATAAATGCTCATCCAGGTATAATTACAGTATCTTGAGCCTCTCACCCTTGAAGTGTTTTTGCATGTCTCTTATTTCTTTCTTTTAAAAAAAAAAAATTATTTATTTGGCTGTTCCAGGTCTTAGTTGTGGCACATGGGGTCTTCAATCTTTGTTGAGGCATGTGGGATCTAGTTCCCTGACCAGAGATTGAACCCCAGACCCCCATATTGGGAGCATGGAGTCCTAGCCACTGGACCACCAGGGAGGTCCTGTGTCTCTGTCGTTTCTAAGTATTCTGAAGTTGCTGCAGATTAATTGGATTGCTTGGTTTTTTGGGGTGGGGGAGCTAAAAGCAAAGGTAACTTTATTGGGGAAGCCAGCAGTCTTGGGGAGAAGCTGGACTCCTGTTCCAAAGAACCATATCCCCATTTGCTGGTCAGGGAGCAAGAGATTTTAAAGGGGAAGTTCCAGGAATGCACTGGAGGAGGGGCAGCTACGTACCGAGGGGCACAGTCACCATGAAATGCTCGCGTGATGGTCTGATCAGTGTCGCCATGACTGCTTTGAGTACAGTTAATTTTCAATTCCAGGGTCAGTTTGTTCCCATTTCCTTGAGGTAAACTCTCAAGATTGTGTAAGATGGAGCAACTTATGTCGTGGCTAAAGTCTGGTCATGATTTAGTCATGACCAATTATTTGTAGATTCTCCTCTGACTCTCAGGTGGATTGGGGCAGGGTGGGGGGCATATCTGGCGTGAGGGCCAGGCAGGAGGGCTCTGCCATCACCCACTCTTGGCTGCCATGATTGGGGGGCTACTGGGTTCCTTAAAGAGCAGATGCTGAGTAGATGCTTACCTTGACATGAATGCCCATCCAGGTACAATTACATCTGGATGTACAATGTACATCTTCCATCTGGTGGGGGCTCCAGTATTAAAGGATATGGCTCAGATTATGATCTGTGGCCCTTGCACGCGTGCATGCTAAGTCGCTTCAGTCGTGTCCAACTCTTTGCGACCCTGTGGAGCGTAGCCCACCAGGCGCCCCTGTCCAAGTGATTCTCCCAGCAAGGATACTGGAATGGGTTGCCATGTCCTCTTCCATGGTGCATTGCTTGTTTTGAAACTTGTAACATGGCTAAGACATGTCCTGAGACACACTTGGGCAGATTCCCTCCACGAGTCTTCAGGGCGTTTCACGCCTGGGTTTGGGGTACTTACTAGGACTGATAGAAACTGGGGTCGATCTGTCCAGAGACGCACAGGCTTTGGTGGCTTCTCCACGAGACCTGGGGTGTGTATGTGTGTGTCTCTACACAGCAGGGACAGTGGTTAAGTGCACCCTGACTTTAGTGTCACTCAGATCTGGCTTCAGATCATGAAAATTTGATTTCTGGCTTCACTGGTCTACTTACTGGCCATGGGTCACGCTCCCTAATCTCTAAACCTCATCTGTTGTTGCTGAGTCTCTGAGTCAGTCCAACTCTTTGCGGCCCCATGGACTGTAGCCTGCCAGGCTCCTCTGTCCATGGTATTCTTTAGGCAAGAATACTGGAGTGGGTTGCCATTTCCTTCTCCAGGGAATCTTTGTGGCCCAGGGATCAAACTCATGTCTCTTGCATTAGCAGGCAAGTTCGTTACCATTGAGCCACCAGGGAAGCCCTCATTTGTTAGGCAGAGATAAGTGTTCTACCTTTTCTTACAGGCATTGATGAATGTCAGATGCTTCAGTAAAGTACTGGGACCGCTAGCAGCTTATCGCATCAGCTCTTTGCCTCCCCTTTCCTAAACCCAGGCAGCCCTCCTCTACTTGTTTTAACAGCACAGCACATGCCTTAGACAAATCCCACTATGGTCCGGCAAAGAACAGACTTCTTTGTGCAGCGGGGTTTAGCTGTTTTAGACTAAGATCCACCCTACTAACTAACCATGATTTAACTTTGGTGCTTGGTAAAGATTTGAGAGTTTTTAGTCCCAAAATAGCCGTTTCATAAACTACCTTCTGGGCGGGTGCCCGATCCATTCGCTGGTGCATGTTCACTGGAGTGATGGTTTATGTCCCAGATTCTGGCGTGTGCCTCATGTGTGGGACCTAGAGCCTAGGATGTCCCAGCTATGCTTGCAGTTGGAGCTTGTGTCTTGGGTGCATTGCAGGCCTGGTGCAAAGCCAGCCACAGTGCTTCCTTTGGCAGCTTAGTATCTGACTGAGAGGGGATCGCAGTGGGGGAACCCTGCTAATGATTAGTCATATAATCATCGTAGCCCTGTTTTATCGAGTGCTCTCTTGCGTCTAGTCGCTTGCCAAAGCTCATGTCATTAAGTTTTCACAATAGTCCAATGATGTGGATACCAATTTTACAGATGAGAAAACCGAGGTGTGGAGAGAGGCCATGCAACTTGGCCAAGGTCACTTCTGGGAATCAGCGGCATGAAAATTCAAGCCAAGTCTTTTGACCCTGAAGGCCATGGTACACTCCATCACTGCTCACAGTGATTCTAGAATGTTGACTCTGGTTAAATAACTTGCCCAAGATCACACAGCTGGTAAATGGCAGAGTTGGACTGCTAGCAGGCCTGCCGTTACTCACTCTGCTCTGGTGCCTCTGTCCACACCAGGCACTGTGCCAGAGCCCTGGATGCCCAGCACCCGGTTCCCGGGCCCCAGATTAAATAGGAGGCTCACTTCCCACTCCTGGTATTTGTTTATTTCACAAATTAAATTATAACTCTACTAAGGGAAATGATTAACTAAAGAAAAGTTGTCAGTTGTGCTACCAGAAGGTTTCGTTTTTCTCTGTTCTTTCTCGGTTCTTAACTCTGTTTACATAATTGTTCCACTTCTTTATTTAATGTTAAACTCATGATTCTGCTTTTTATCGCTGCATACTGTTGCGTGAAATCGATATAATTCACTTGACCACACACATCTTTCTGCCAATGGCTTTTTAATTTTGGGATTGCTTCTATTAGTGTAAATTCCAGAAGTAGAATTATTAATGAATTGAGATGCATTTATTATCATATAACTTTTCCAGAGTCATTTAGATAGCCACCAGAAGTATCTTCTTCTGTTGTTTAACCTCACTAACATTTGGTTTTATATCTTTTTTAAAAAATGTTTCGCTATCTTAGTAAGTAGCACCCTCCATCTTTTAAATGTATATTCTTAAACCAGGGAGACCAAGTTTTGGGGGTTGTTTTGTTTTTTGTTTTTAATTGGCTGTACTGGTCTTGCGGGCTTTCTCCAGTTGGGATCTGGAGTGGAGATTACTCTCTGGTTGTGGTGCGGTGGTTTCTCTTGTTGAGGAGCATGGGCTCTAGGGCATGCGGGCTGCAGTAGTTGTGACTCACCAGCTTAGTTGCCTTGAGGCACGTGGAATCTTCCCAGACCAGGGAACAAAAACCCATGTCCCCTGCCTTGGCAGGGGGATTCTTAACCACTGGATCACCAGGGAACTCCAAGACTAGTAGTTTTCATATTGGTTCCCTAATTTAGGTAGTGTAGAAATAACTCTTTGGCATGTTTGATGGTGTATATTTTCCCCAGTCTACTTCCCCCCACCTTTTAGTTGTACTTTTCATTTTTTTAGATTTTTCCTTTGAAGAATTTCAAACATAAACAAAAATAGAGTAGTATAATGAAGTCCCATCACTTAGTTCCAACAGTTGTCACCTCATGCCTAATCTTGTCTCATCTGTACTCTAGTGCAGATATTCCCTCCTTTGTTATTTTGAAGCAAATCACAAGTAAAATACTTAATCCATGATAATCTCAGTATCTCTAAAAAGATACAGACTTTAAAAGAAAAACATAACCACATGACTTCCCTGGTGGTCCACTAGCAGAGTTCACCTGCCAATGCAGCGGACCTGGGTTCCATCCTTGGTCTGGGAAGACTCCACATGCATCGGGTAAACTAAGCCTGTGCGCCACAACTACTGAGGCTGCACCCTCAAGCCTGTGCTCTGCAACAAGAGAAGTCCACGCACTGCAAATAGAGTTGCCCTCTGCTTGCCGCAACTAGAGAAAGTCCATGTGTAGCAAGGAAGATCCAGCACAGCCAAAAAAAAAAAGTTAATTAAAAAACACACATAGTTTTTCTTTCCCCTTTTTTTAAAATTATATATAATTATTTGGCTGTGCTGGGCCCCAGTTGTAGCACCGGAGGTCTTCAGTCTTTGTTGTAGCATGCAGACTCTTAGTTGTGGCATGTGGAACCTAGTTTCCTGATGGGGATCGAACCTGGGCCCCCTGGAGTCTTAGCCACATGGACCACAAGGGAAGTCCCTACTTTTAAAAAATTTAGTCAGACCTGTTGAATTTGTTTTTATTTTCTGTTACAAAAGAAGGATTGTTCTCAAAAGTTAGGCAGAGACTTAGAGAAGCTTTGGTACTGACGGGATCCAGAGTCTGAGGAGAGACCCTCCTGTCTGGAGTGAGCCCTGTGGGTCTGGTATGGAAGGTAAGGGTGGGCCTCTCACCTGGCTCTTCGCTCTTTGCAGGCTCATCCGTCACCATGAAGCCGCTGCGCACAGCCCTCCCCAGCTACTTCCTGCTGACCCTGCTCATCATGCGGACAGCTGCTTCTGAGGCTCGTGCTGTGTCTACAGGGACCACCCTCAGCGCAGCCTCTTTTCTGCAAAACCTCATGCATCGCTACGGGGAGGGTGACAGCCTTACCCTTCATCAGCTGAAGGCCCTGCTCAACCACCTGGATGTGGGAGTAGGCCGGAGCAACATCTCCCAGCCCGTGCAGGGCCCAAGGAACCTCTCGACGGTAAGGCCCTCAGCTCCGCCTGGCACCAACTCTACCCGTTCGAGGTTCACAGTCTAGGTGGGGCCAGGTGAGCCTTGATGACAGAACAGAGGAGCCACTTCTTGCCTTGCAGTCTGGGTCAGCTGGTCTGAGACTCCAACTGCACCTCACAACCTTCTTCATGGGTGCGTTGACGCCCTTAGCCCAGGACAGCCATGCAATAGGGGCTGCCTGCCGTCCAGACCCTGCCGCAGAACTGTACTGGGAACTCCTGGACCTGCTGCTAGGCTGGGGCTCCTGGGTCAGCTTGTGTTTCTAATGGAGTTTTTGCAAAGGCCTTTGCCCATCATCCTGGGTGAGCCTCAGAGTACCTCCAGGAGCAGGTGGCAGATCTTCATCATGTCCTGTGTACAGTGAGATGGGCTTCCATGCTGACTTAGACAGTAAAGAATCAGCCTGCCAATGCTGGAGATGCAGGTTCAATCCCTGGGTTGGGACAATCCCCTGGAGAAGGAAATGGCAACCCACTCCAGTATTCTTGCATGGAAAATCCCGTGGACAGAGGAGCCTGGCGGGATACAGTCCATGGGGTTGCAAAGAGTCAGACATGACTGAGTAACTAAGCAACAACAATATACTGGGATACTGAGGGACCCACAGCGAGTGCCGCAGGGACCGGGATTAAGACTCAGGTGTTTTGGCTTCTGATTCTCTCTTCTGTCTTCCGTGTCATCTTGGCCAATCAGTCTGAGGCCCTGTGGCGGCCAAGTGTAAGTCACCCGCGATGTCTTTATGCATCTGCCTGTGCTGAGTGTTGTGAGAAAGGCAGAGAAAATGAGTCATCTTCAGGGAGTGTACCGTTCAGATGGGGAGCTCAGCCAACCAAGGACAGAGTTAGCTGATACTCGGATGAAATGTTAAGATGCTGTGGGTTGGCGACTCATTTCTGGATTCAGAAATGACAGGAGCGGGTGAGTATGGGCTCACTGGTCAAGGAAGCTTTGTGGGTGGGACATCCTGGAGCTTCTTGAAGGAGAGCAGAGTTCAGAGAGGCCAAGTGGCCAGAAGTGGGGGACCGTGTGGCATGGATGTGGGACCATGGGGGCGTGGCGCGCCTCTGAGTCAGAGGAGCCTGCCCCAGGCTGGGGCTCATGCAGCCTGACCCCAGCTGCCTTCCGGTGCAGCACAAGGATACTAGGGGTCACCACGTCCAGCCCCCAGCTTTGTAGGCCCAGGAAACCCTCCTTCACCAGCCCTCCCAGAGCTGACTAGCTCATTAGACACAGACCCACGTAAAACCACACTCAGCGAAAGACTGACGTATGAATGTCTAATTAGAAGTGAAATGGCAGTGTTTCAGGGGAATGGTATGTGAGAACCACTTACCTGATGCCTCCCAGGGAACTGAGAGCCCAAGTCCACTGGGCAGCCCACGCCTCTCCCTGGCAGACCCTGAATCTTCAGGTACCCCTCCACCCCTCCCCAGTCTCTGCCAGCACATTCTGCAGGCTGCGGGCATTACTGCACATGGCCCAGGAGACCCACTTCCCCGTAGACACCTGTGCTCAGTGGCTCTGGAGAAGCATCTGAAATCTGCATTTTACTGTAACAGTTCCCGGGACGGTTGTGATGTGGAGCCAGATTGAGAATCTGGGAGAAACTGCATCTTCAGGCATGCACACAGAGGCACATTTTCCAGCAGCCACACCCTGGTCGTAATGATTGGAATTCAGTTGTTTCCAGAACTTCTGGGTAGCCATTCTTAGATGGGCGTGTGGAAGGCATGTCTGGGTGGCCGATCTCTTAAGATTACTTATCAATGTTTTAAGTTTAGGGACTACTTTGCTCTCATCCTTGGAAATTAGCCTGCAGACTCCATGAAAGTTAGCCAGGTCCGTCTTCTGTTCTTCATCTTGGAGGGCTCCTCGGGGGCAAGGTGTGACCTTGGGTCCTAAGAAGCTTTCCGCCCCTCTCTCTTGGTTTCAGTGCTTCAGTTCTGGAGAACTCTTTGCTGCCCACAACCTCAGTCACCAGTCGCAGATCGGGGAGCGTGAGTTCCAGGAGTTCTGCCCCACCATCCTCCAGCAGCTGGACTCCAGGGCCTGCTCCTCCGAGAACCAGGAGAATGAGGAGAACGAGCAGACGGAAGAGGGGAGGCCCAGCTCGGTGGAAGGTGAGCCGGGATGGGGAGGCAAGCAGGTGTCCCAGCTTGTCAGCCCAGGGACTGCCGGGCCGATCAGATAGAGTGGCTCGCTGAATGATTAACCAGTTATCCTCCTCTTATCATCGTCAGGAGGGGTGAACTGGAGTAATGTATAAACTGATATCTCCCATGCTCATGAGACCAGTCCAGCACATCACCAGGCTGGGCAGTGTGGCTGCTGAGCCATCAGTGTGAAACTTTTGGACCACTTTTCCCTTTTGGTTTTCATTAAACTACCAGGGGGCCAATGCTTTGGTTTTTTGAGTTTAGCATTTAAGGCCTTTCACAGACTGCCCTCGTCCCACTTCATCCACCTGCCCTCCTCCTCTGCCTGGACCTCTGCTCCAGCCACAGTGGTTCACGTGTGTGCACGTGGCTCCCTTGGGCCTGGATCGAGCTCCTGCAATCCTGTCCTGCTGGTATGAGCTGCCGGCATTTGGTACCTGGCACATGCCACCTGTGTCCTGCCCCACGTCATTATTTAACTCCTGTATAGTCTTTAGCCTTTCATGGGTTCACCTGCCCCTCCATCTGAAAGGTAAGCTGCTTTAGATAGCAACTTTGGTGTATGTTTTCAGGCTTCTTCACAGCACCCAGCAAGAGACACTCGGCAAGCATTTACTGATGGGCTGGCGGAACTCTGTCTGCCCTGGTTGCGGCTGAGTTCAGAGTGGGGGGTTGCACGCACCCCCAGCAGCAAGAGCACTCCCGCCCGCGGTAATGGCGGCCCTCGTCTGTTCTTGTTCCTCCACAGTGTGGGGCTTTGGCTTTCTCAGTGTCTCACTGATTAACCTGGCCTCTCTCCTGGGAGTCCTCGTCCTGCCCTGCACAGAGAGAGCGTTTTTCAGCCGCGTGCTCACTTACTTCATCGCCCTGTCCATTGGAACGCTGCTGTCTAACGCGCTCTTCCAGCTCATCCCAGAGGTGCAGTAGAATGGAAGCGTGCGCGTCCTCTCTCCCCGGGGCATCCCTGCCCCAACCTGTGCTCCAAGGCCCCTGACAGCCGCCACCTGAAACACTGACGTCTTCTTCTAGTCAAGGGACCCCAGTGACTTCTGCCTCTGAATCTCCAGGGCCTCCTGTCATTCCCGGGGCACCCCGGTTGGCCTCTGGCCTCTTCAGGGCTTGTCAGATGCAAGGCTGTTAGCACTCACCCCCGTCACCCCCACCCACCATCATCACGCTGGGGGTCCGTCAGCCTCCTTCCCCTTCCCCAGTCAGCACCTTTCCGAAGCCCTGTTGGCAGGGCTTGAAAGGAAAGTGGTGGTGGCGGCTGCCTCTACCCTTGGTCCGCCAGACCCCCTGCCATTCTAAATAGAGGCCCTGGCAGTACTCAGGTGTGGCCACCAAGAGACGATCCACCTGGAGTGAGGTGGAAGGAAAGAGGTTACCAACTGAAAAGCAGAACTGGCCTAAAAAGAGCCTTTTTTAAAGCAGGCCCTAATCCACACAGCGTGGGCTTTGCTGGTGGCTTTGCTGGCTCAGTGGTAAAGAAGCCACCTGCCAATGCAGAAGTCACAGGTTTGATTGCTGTGTCGGGAAGATCCTCTGGAGGGGGAAATGGCAACCCACTCCAGTATTCTTGCCTGGGAAACCCCATAGACAGAGGAACCTGGTAGGCCGCAGTCCATGGGGTTGCAAAAGAGTCAGACGCTACTTATGACTAAACAAAAACCATCTGCAGGATACAAGGCCAAACATAGAATCCAGACTCAAGCAAAAACAAGTGAAAGGGACTGCAGCCCTTCACACCTTGCATCTGGACTTCTTCCTGACAGGAATGACTTCCTGGCGCCCTGACTTGACTGTTTTGAAATGTTCGTTAATTTTGTTCTTTAATTGTAACCATTGAAGAGCTTAAAAAAAAAAAGGCCCAAGGTGACAGTCTGCCGACGTGTCAACTCAGGCAAGGCCGTGCAGCGGGGCAGTGGTGACATGTGTGTTGGCTTTGCCTTCCATAGGCAGCTGCCCAGCTTTCCCAATCAGAAGACTTCATGGGGACTTCCCTGGTGGTCCAGTGGCTAAGACTCTGAGCTCCCAACACAGGGGGCCTGGATTCAGTTCCTGGTTATGGAACTAGATCCCATATGCTGTACTAGCAACCAAAAAAGAAAAAAAAAAGACTTGTGGGATGCCCAGCCTTGCCTTACCTCTTCCTGCTTCATGATAAGAGAAGAAATTTGGTTTAAGGTGAACCATCTCGATGCTATGTCAGAATTGCACATGAATCTAGCAAGCACTTCTCAGGGCAGGCCTCATCTTGGGCTATTTTTTTTTCCAGCTCTGGAAATTGAATTTATTAATTTTTTTTCTCAAGATCAGAAATGAAATGCTGTGTTGCCTGTTGAATAGGAATACAATAATGGTGCATACTCCACCCCTGGACTCACAGGGGAGGCTGCGTCCTGGCTCGGTTTCGTCCTGCCTGGAGTGTGTCACCCTGAGAAATGGAAGAGGAAATATTTTTTGGCGGGGTGATCTTGGAAGTCTGTTCTCTACGCTGCAGCCCTCTCAAAGCAAATGGAAACAAACAAAACCTGAGGGAGTTCTCTGGTTGTCTAGTGGTTAGGGCTCCGGGCTTTCACTGCTGTGGCCTGGGTTCAGTCCCCTGTTGGGGAACTAAGATCCCACAAGCTATGCAGCCAAAAGAAAAAGCAAACACAAAAAACATAGAGGGAAAAAAATGGCAAGAGAACCTGGGCTGCTGAGAGCATGAATTCTCTGGGCGTCGGGCCTTGTTTACCCTTTCTGCCCCGCACTTCTGACCTGGTTGCGCCCTGTGCAGTGCAGACCAGCTGCGAGGAGCGTCCACGTGTCTGCAGCGTGGGGCGGATGTGCAAACACGCACGGCACAACGGTCTCTTCCCGGGCTCCTGTTTTCTCACTCGGATAGCCCTTGCGTCCAAAGTCCGCCAGGCCTGGGGACACTTGGGCTAAGACCGCAGCTGCCCCGCCAGGCACAGAAGCAGGCAGTTGGCCTCGGCCACCAGGCAACAGGGGCAGGAGAGAGACAGCGTTCCAAGGCCACCTCAAGCTCCTCCCCCATTTCTCCTGAACTTGATTGAAGAAAATTTCATCAGACTTGAATCACTAATAAATGTTCTGTTTCTCTCTCCCTCCCTGCTTGTCTCTCTGATTCTTCTCTTTTGTCTCCTTTGTTAATATCTGTCAACCAAACCCCTCCTGACTGCTCCCTCCCCGACCACCACCCCCTGCCTTCCCCCAACGATGGCTGCCATGCCCTGGGGTGTTGGCCCTTGCCCCTGTCCCGGGTGGGGCTGGCTCCCCTCATCCATGGCAGTGTGGGGGTACGGTCTCCTCTGCGTGACCGTCATCTCCCTCTGCTCCCTCCTGGGGGCCAGCGTTGTGCCCTTCATGAAGAAGACCTTTTACAAGAGGCTCCTGCTCTACTTCATAGCTCTGGCGATTGGAACCCTCTACTCCAACGCCCTCTTCCAGCTCATCCCTGAGGTATGGCGAGCCAGGGCCCTCTTGCGAGCACGCCGCCTCCTGGGGACTGCGGGGTGCAGTGGGAGGGACCCCACCCCCCATCTCCATTTATGGTGTAGTGAGGAGATCTCTCCTTTTGGAAAGCGAAGATGGGACGCAGACACAAGCAGGGAGGGGCAGTTTGAGGCAGTGTGAGCAGGGAGTAGGTCTGAGAGCTGGTGCAGATCCCAGCTCCACTTGTGCACTAGGGCAAGTCACCTAACCCCTCTATGCTGCAGTTTCCTCATGCAGAAAAGGGGAAAATAATAGGCTGGACCTCAGGATGAGCTCATGAGGGTTCTATGAGTTCATGTTCATAAATCACCTGGTGCTCGCTACCTACCAGGTGAAGAGACATAGTGTAGCTAGGTCACATGATGGCCCCCAATTTGGAGCTTTGGGCACCAAAACCAGAATCAGTAGGTCTCAGTGAAAAAAAATTAGTTCTCCTCAGTAGGGCATAAACTTCTAAAGACCCTCTGTCTTTTGCACCAGAAAGTAAGTTGAACCCAGCAGTCTGGCCTCACACGTGTTGAAGGCCCCATTGCCCCTTCACCTGGGCTAACCAGGACACCCTCCGTGGCAGAGGAGGAGCACTGTGTTTGTAAGGTTTAGCAGGGCCAGGAAGGAGTCCCTGATGCCGTGTGGTCTCCTGGTAGACCCGCTGATGCAGGAAGCCAGCATGAGGTGCTTCACTGCGGGTGGTCTGACAGGCCCGGACCCGCCAGAGGTGAAGCAGAGGGATGGCGCCCTGCGCTCCTTGTAGCACTCCGTTTTCCACGCTGTGGTTTTGTGTCTCCTGAGTTGGTCCTCAGATCGCTTCTGTGATGTGTAGGAAACAAGGGCTGTTTGACCTGTTTAGCAAATGCAGAGCCCGGCCTGCACAAGAGCTCATGTCCTGGTTCCTTTAGTGGAGAACTGTTAGTTGCCTGTGTCCACTCCTCTTTTCCTTAAGATGGTTTGACTCTCTTGGAAGGTTGGCCTGAATGAGTCATTTCTATTCTAGAACTTGACCTTTAATGTCTCTTAGAAAACTACACTGGGATTAGAGACTGCATTTTGTCTCTTTAAAAGAGAAAAAAAAAAAAAAACACTTAGTTTCTAAGCAGCCCAGAGTCCCTGGTGCTGATGGCCCCTTTTATCTGGGGCCCATCCATGAGATCCTGGTGTTTGCTGGTGAGGCCCATTTTCTATGAGAAAACTGAGGAGCAGGTCAGCAGACACTTTCTCAAGTTCCTCGCTGCCGCACACAAGTTAGGAGCTTTACTGGGAATGGTATTCTCCTAACTTCCACTCCTGTCTGCTTTCCCAAGGATTTTTTTTTTTCCCCTAAGTGAAGTTTCAAGAACTCAAAACAAACTTCCCCAGATTGATACATGCAGTAATACTGTCTGCCCCCTTGGCTTTGTGGTCACTGGGAGGTCTGCGGTCAGAAAGATGCTGCAATTCTTACTGTTCCACCCGGGATAGGATTTCCCATTTTAGAAAGTTTAATTACACCATCTCCCTGTGTGTTTACATGCAGGTCATCCAGGGAGACTAGATAACGACAAAAATAAACACAAGTGTCTCCTTAAATACGAATTTGCCGGCAGAGTCTGCCCTTATTACAAAGCACCAGGAGAAAGTAAAGACAGGGTTGTTAAAAGTTCGGCAGCCTTGTCCGAGCCTGTTCTTCCTGAAAGTAAAATTCGAAAGACGATGTGATGTCTTTTGCATCAGAAAATCAGCTAGAGAGAACCCAGCATGTCTGGTGGCATGACATGAGAAAAACATCAAGGGTTAGATTTTGCTGGAAAAAGGTGAGGTAGATGGCAGAGTTGTCCCAGTCTCTTCCTTTCCTGGAGTCAAGGAGATGGTGAAAGAGAGGAGAGGGGACCAGTGAAACTCAACTCACTTTGTTTTCCTGGGTCCACAGGCTTTCGGCTTCAACCCCATGGAAGACTATTATGTCTCCAAGTCTGCAGTGGTGTTCGGGGGCTTTTATCTCTTCTTTTTCACAGAGAAGATCTTGAAGATGCTCCTTAAACAGAAAAACGAGGTGAGGCCTAATTGTTGGTAAAGGAAGTGCCTCTCGGGAGAGCATCCGTCTCAGAAATGTGTCCCAGGCGTGCTGTTGACCTCAGTGCTGATCAGTGAGCTTACCTGGATCCTCCCACCGTGGGCTCAAACCCACAGACTTTCTGAGTAGATAAACCCGCCTCCCCTCTGAAAGGGGACAGCAGGGGATAAGGGCGAACCTGAAACCGGGTCTGGCCTGTGTGCCTCCTCCCAGGCAGTGACTTGCCCTCTTTATCTTATTCTAGATTATTTCCTTAACAGATTTTTCAGCCCTTGAGATGTAGGAAGGGCACCATATATGAAGTAGTCCGCAAGGAAATGAGACCGGTTTTTGTGGCGTAGTTCCCAGAAGTCACGTTTGGTGCCTGGCTCCTAGTTTTCCCCTAAGCAGTTGCTGAATGGGATACAGTCAGCTGTTGCGAGGAGCCTCTCTAAGCACCTGTGCCGTGCCTCCTGCCAGGAATGAGCACTGGCCCCTCGGTCACTGCTCTGAGATCCGCCCCATGCCAGCCCCACGCCCCACCCCGCCCCTTTCGGCTTTCTCCATTACCTTGCCCGCGGCCTCTGTCTCTCCATTGCCTGCTCGTGGTCTCCCGGACGGTGGGAGTGAGGTCCTTCCGGTGCTCGTGGCACCTGCTGGGTGGGTGGTTTTGGTGAGCGTTGCTCTGGCTTGACCCCCTCTGCGCGGTGCCGCCAGCATCATCACGGACACAGCCACTACACCTCTGAGACGCTCCCCTCCCAGAAGGACCAGGAAGAGGGTGTGACAGAGAAGCTGCAGAACGGGGATCTGGACCACATGATTCCTCAGCACTGCAGCGGGGAGCTGGACGGGAAGACCTCCGTGGTGGATGAGAAGGTCATCGTGGGCTCCCTGTCCGTCCAGGTCAGTGGGCCGCCCTCCACTGGGGGACGCAGGTGGGGGTTGGGAGGTGGGAGGGGCTTGAACGGTAACAGCCTTGATGACTCATGCCTGCCCTGAAGGTCTGCCGTCCACCCTTTGACCTGGGGGCCTTGGGGTCGGGCTTCCCGGCAGGACCTGCAGGCTTCCCAGAGCGCCTGCCACTGGCTGAAAGGCGTGCGCTACTCAGACATCGGCACGCTGGCCTGGATGATCACCCTGAGCGACGGCCTCCACAACTTCATCGACGGCCTGGCTATCGGCGCCTCCTTCACTGTGTCCGTCTTCCAGGGAATCAGCACCTCAGTGGCCATCCTGTGTGAGGAGTTCCCACATGAGCTTGGTAGGTGCCTGGGCACTGCCCCCACCCCAGCCTGGTCCATTGTGCTGTCTCCCCCGCTGCCCTTCGGAACACAGACCATCTTCAGTGGACACATTCTTTGTGCTATGTGAAATCAAACCACTGATTCTCAATAGCCAAATCAATCACTGAAAATCGATCATTGGATAAGGACATCCTTGGCAGTCCAGTGATTAAGGCTCTGCACTTCCACTGTGGGGGGCACAGGTTTGATCCCTGGTCAGGGAACTAAGATAATGCGTGTCACACAGTTTGGCCAAAAACACCCAGAAAGTTCATCATTGGAAATGTTGGAGTTTTTACCAGCATATTTGTGGCTCAGTTTCTTCACTTCTACACTGGGATTAATAGTGGTACCTGTCTCGTTGACTCATCGTGAGAAACATGGGGGGAAAAATAGTGAAAAGGACTTATGGCGTGCCATTCACTAGACTTAAGTTTTCAGTATTGGTTATCTCTTACATCCTATTAATCTTCCAAAGGCTGAGCTATATGTTAGAGGTCTGGTGGGTAGAAGAAAGAGATGAGCCGGTTGGAAATTCCTTGGTTTTATCAGAGGGAGAGTGTAAAAAGCCTAGACTCTTTTGAGGCTCAGATATTCAAGGTCATATCCCAGCTTTGCCATTTATTGGCTTGTCAATTTGGGCAAATGACTTAACATCTGTCCATCTCGATTTTGTTTCCTAAAAACACCATGCATTACAGTTTTGAGGAAGGAAGCTCCTTCTATTTCACCATCAATCAAAAGAGAAGTGAGGCCATTGTAGGTGGTTTTTCTGTCTTGAGAATCCTGTGCACTGTGTTCAGCCTCCAGGCTGGACGCGCATGGTCAGCCTCATAGATGCAAGCTTGCAAGCATCCTTGGTGTGGAGGTCAAGGGGGCCTTAGTCTGTCATTATGAGCTGTAGTCTGGGGCTGTCAGGATTTTCACCCAGACTCCATCCAACATTTAGGCAGCCTGTCCTCATCAAGTTGTGTGTCCCGAAACCTGATATGACTCTTGTGCCCACACCCTCCCCTCTCATCCTCCCCACTGCAGGAGACTTCGTCATCCTTCTCAATGCCGGCATGAGTCTTCAGCAGGCTCTCTTTTTCAACTTCCTCTCTGCCTGCTGCTGTTACGTGGGCCTGGGCTTCGGCATCTTAGCCGGCAGCCACTTCTCTGCCAACTGGATCTTTGCACTGGCTGGAGGAATGTTCTTATATATTTCACTGGCTGATATGGTAAGTCTTCCATAGTTTTAATGCCTTGTAGGCAAAACTGGATCAGGTTATTAATTTAAGTTCATTGAGTGGGATGACAGCTAAGGTGCATTAATTACTTTGTTTTTAATAACAACTTTATCAATGAATCAGTTCATGTGTGTGCAGGTGCTAAGTCAGCTTCAGTCCTGTCCAACTCTTTGCAGTCCTGTGGGCTGGTAGCCTGCCAGGCTCCTCTGTCTGTGGGATTCTGCAGGCAAGAATACTGGAGTGGGTTGCCATGCCTTCCTCCAGGGGATCTTCCCGACCCAGGGATCAAACCCAGATCTCGCATGTCTCCTTCATTGGCGGGTGGATTCTCTACCACTCGGCCATGTGGGAAGCCCAAATTTGTATACCACACCCTTTACCTATTTAAAGTATACAGTGCTTTTTTAAAAGGGATATTAGATTTTTAAAGGATGAAAAGCCTATGTTCCTTAGGTACCTGTCACTGAAGAAAATGATCTATCTCAACTCCAGGGTCTTTACCTAAGTATCTTTTAGATATCCATAGATAAATAGAAAGGAGGCAAGAAGGGAAGGAAGGAAAGAAAATTACCCATAATTATTCTCCCTCAGAACACCACCACTTGGCTTTATTTACTGTTTCTTCACAATGCATCGTGTTTGTTTTTAAACAACTAACCACACTGAATATACACTTCTGTATCCTAGTTTCTTTTTTCACTTAATACATCCTAGACATTTTTCTTGCTGCATATTCTTTAAAGGCATCCTTTTCAGGGAATTCCCTGTCAGTCCACTGGTTAGAGTGCCACACTTCCCACGTCAAAAGACGTGGGTATGATCCCTCTTTGGGGGACTAAGATCCAGCATGGCATGCCAAAACCAAACCAAAAAAGGCATCATCTCCACTGCTGGTATTATTTGGTGGGAGAGTGTACTTGATCCAGAACAGGAATCACGGGCTCAAAAAGGCTGCATTAGTTTAAGGTTTTAATGTGTGTTGCCAAATTGCTTTCTAAAACAGCTTAACCTTCCTTTACATTATTAGCAGTGTCTGAAAGTGTACATTGTACTGTGCCCACTAATGTCTGTTTGAGTTTGCTACTTTAATACTGATTTGTTGCAGCTTTTTCTCTAAGGAGGTTGATTTCTTTTCTTAAGGGCATGACATGTTCTTTGGCATGTTTGAATGCATTATTTTCTGTATCCTTGGAAAGTATTATTTTAGAAAAATCATTTGTTTGTTTATTTTTGGCTGCGCTGGGTCTTCACTGCTCCAAGCAGGCTTTCTCTAGCTGCGGCGAGCCGAGGCTACTCGTCCTTGCAGTTCATGGGCTTCTGATTGCTTCACTTGTTGTGGAGCACAGGCTCTAGGGTTCACAGGCTCACTAGTTGTGAAGCACAGGCTTAGTTGCTCCAAGGCATGTGGGCTCTTCCCCTACCAGGGGTGGAACCTATGTCCCCTGCACTGGGAGGCAGAGTCTTAACCATTAGACTATCAGGGAAGTCCTGAAAAGTAGTATTTTTGATGAGATGATGAGAGTACTGACCACCACGGTCCATCCTCAGCCAATGGATTAGGATATTTTTTTGTTCAATCCTTGGGTCAGGAAGATCCCCTGGAGAAGGGAATGGCAACCCACTCCAGTATTCTTGCCTGGGAAATCCCATGGACAGAGGAGCCTGGTGGGCTGCAGTCCATGGGGTCACAGAGAGTCACACATGACTGAGCATGCATGCCTTGCTAGCCAGCTGCAGGAGACCTTGAGTCATTGCAATACTTAGCTCCATTTTCTGGCCCCTTACACAGTTGCTCAGTTTCCCAAACAAGTGGCAGTTTTATCAGAGTGGTTATTTTTAACCAGTCGCTGAACACATCCAGGGTTACATATACGTTTAGTACTTTGTTTCACCTCCATAGTTGTAAAGCAGTGGCAACCACCTTGGAGAAAGGTGATAATGTTTAAGTTCTAGAAGTTACTGCTATTGATTTTCTTTGTAAACCAATCTTATTTTTTTATATACCCTGGTGGTTTAGCAGTAAAAGAATCTGCCTGTTAATGCTGGAGACGTGGGTTCAATCCCTGGGTCGGGAATATCCCCTGGAGAAGGAAATGGCAGCCCAGTCCAGTATTCTTGCCTGGGAAATCCTACAGACATGGTGGGCTATACTCCATGGGATCACAGAGTCAGACATGCCTGAGTAACTGACATGCATGCGTCTTGATTAAATATTATATATAATAGCTATTATAATAATCATATACACTAATGATGTGTTATTTTCACATAAAAATATAATAATAATAAACATTGTAATGATTATTCGCTAGTATATATAACCGAATTGTCCTGCACTTAAAGGACCTGCAAGAAGAAAGGAACTGCAGCTCTTATGTTCTTCTCTTTTCTTTCCCAGTTCCCTGAGATGAACGAGGTCAGCCAAGAGGATGAACGCAAGGGCAGCACCTTGATCCCCTTTGTCATCCAGAACCTGGGCCTCTTGACCGGGTTTGGCATCATGCTAGTCCTCACCATGTACTCGGGACATATCCAGATTGGATAGGGCCCCACCAGGAGCCGGCGGGGTTGGCAGTCCGTCCCCGGGCTGCCCGACCCCTGGCCTAAGGACGCCTCATCCAGGAAGCACTTCGGAAGAGGCAGTTCTATTAAAAACTGTGACACGGACTCTATTCCTACATTCAAATGTCAGCTGGTTTTGAAAATGCTCTGTCCAAGGAATAAGCTGCCCTGGAAACCAGCCTCTCGGTAGTGCCTCTGTCCCTTTCCTCTTCTCAACGCAGCTCGAAAGACAAGCCTAACTTTTCCCTCTGGTTACCTTGGCCACTTTCTCTCCCAACCAGCACTGAGACATTCTGAATCCTTGGCCAGGTGATGCAGAAAGAGAGCCAGGGCTCACAGCTTGGTGAGAAATAGTAGGAGGTGAGTCTACACTTTGGGGCTCATAAAGTCTCAGTGTGTTTCCTGGGCCTCAGGGTGACCCATTTTTAAGTGAATTTGCCTGTTTTTTTTACAGCAAAGGTACAAAGGACAGGAATCCCTCTTATATTTTCAGTCTGTTCGGTTGCCTGTTCTGTCAAAAAGTCAGAGCTGGGAACAGATGAGCAGGGCTGGAGGAGACGCAAGGATCGCTGTGTATGGACGAGGGGCGTGTGTCTTGTCAGGACAGTCGCTTATCCCCATTGGGACCCTGGGCCAAAATCGGTTCTGCACCTGGTGTTTTGTGGCTGTCCAGCTGAGCAGCCAGTAGTTTGTGTTGCCTGAACCTCCCCTCCTTTCAGATGAACACTGGCGGACACGGGAGGGCAGAGAGGAGAGATCTCTGAGAAACCCAGTGGCTTTGCTATGATTCCCACCCCGCAGCCCCCACCCCCATCTCCTGAGAGACATTTCTACTGCCTCCCTGGCAGCACCCTCTTAAGCACAGTGACGACACCCGTGTTGGAGGGGAGACCGCACAAATCCACCTCCCTGGACAACAGCTCCTGCTGCCAAGCGACGAGTTTTGACTTTTAGAACGGGAGTGCCGCTTGGGGTCTTCTTGACGAGGGTGAGTGGGGTGCAGTCAGCGCAGGCAGCATTTAGGACTTACTCATGCCGCAGCTAGCAGTACACTGATAGACTGATAGTACACTAACAGTACACTGGTAGACTCTGAGCTGGGAGCGGAGCACCCTTGGTGTTCACAGAATAGGGGACCCAAGAGTTCCCGCGGCAACCAGCTGGGTCCCCCTTCCACCCTCACCCCACACCAGAGAGGGCGAAGCCTGTATGGAACTGAGTATGAATTATGCCAATAACTCTCTTCAGAAAATGGGTTGATAGACTCGTGTGTGTTGGGGAGGGGGAGACCGTAGGTCACCTGCTTGCCCTGTGGAGCCCTCTCCGCAGAGCTCCAGCTGTGAGGGGAGCTAGTCTCCAGGTTCACTAGGTGAATTGCTGTATTATTATCATATTGATAACGTGAGATTCCTCAGCCACTCTGGGGAGCCGACCTCCCCAGAAGCCTTTCTCAGCGGTGCCCGCGGTCGCAGACCAGCCTGTGCACGTGGCTGACCAGTGCTGGTCCATCGCCACCGCTCGAGCACATTTCCGTTCTGACAGGAAAACTTTTCCACTCTACAGTAATTGAAAGCATCGACTCTGGTTTTTTTTCTTTCTTTCTTTTTTCCTTTGGGAAACATCCCTCAAACCAGGACTATTCTTGAACATGAGCAGGAAAACCGTTGGTGATGCTTTACAAGTTTTTCTCATCTTGCCTGTTGATTTGGATAGGTTTGAGAATGGGCGGAAGGAGGAGGAAAACTCAGTTCTCAAGATTCTAGATGTACTGTCAGGACAGACTCCCTGGTAGGATTACGGTCCAATTTTTACCAAAGAACCAATTCCTTGAATGTTGGAATCTAACTTTTTATACCGTCATTATTATTGTCACTGTTAACTGTTTTGAAATGAATCTTTGTCTCTTCTGTTTCATTTTTCTCAGATTGCTTTCAAGAGCTAGCAAGAAATAACACTCAAACCTTAGGACCCTAGATGATTTTGCTTCCCTTAATTTACATGGATGTATTAACTTGATAATTTTAGCATTCCCTGTAGATCTGTCCTTCCTTACAGACACTGGTACTTGTGGAGTAGAATCCTAAGTAAGCATTAGTGGGTTTCTAGTTTTAGGAGAAGAGCCCAAAAATGTAACCTTGAGCAAATTAAAAAAATAAAATACGAGCAGTAGGGTGTTTTCCCTTCTCGTGCACATCCGTATGAAGAACTGACTTTCCTTTCATAGACACCTGCCTCAGAGGGGAGTTTTTTCCAAACTGTCTTTGGTCCAGAGGCCAGTCCCAGTTGTAGCTTAGGAGGGGTAGAGACACTCAAATTGTGCAACGGATTACCTGTTGCTATGGCAACAGGTTTGCCTCATGAATCGAGAATGTGGCGGTTTCTTTTTGAAGTGTTGGGTTTGCTGTTTCAAGCATTTGTACACAGAAGTCTGAGGAGTAGCAAGTTCTGAGGACTTATTTCACGTCTGGCATTAGCATCTTCAGCCTGTCTCCCTTGTGGACCACCTTTCTCTAAGGACCACCAGGAAGGTATGTGTAACATGCAGGAGTCGTGGCTCCAGAGGAGGGGTTCTGCTGCTTCTCACCCTCCCCCTGGCTTGCAGGTCTGCTGTCCTTGCCCCCAAGGGTTTTTGTGTCTAGTGTCAGCTTAGGTCTCCCCTTCACTGGTCCTTCACCCTGGGTTTTAAAAAGAAAGCTTCTCTTTTATGACCTCCTAAGACCTGGTTTTAGTAAATCTTCTTCCACATGGTAATATGGAGATAGCAATATGTTGGAAATCTGCTTAAAAAGAAACAAACGGTTGTCTGATTTTTGCAAAAGAGAGAGGTTAGCTTTTTATTATTCATATTTTATTTTACAGTTCTGCAATTCCATCACAGTATTTTTTTAAATGACTCAGGTGTTATGAAGATAAATTAGAAAATAAAATAAACTTAAGTTATGTGGACTGTAAATGTTTTTATTTGTAAGATTCTATAAATAAAGCTATATTCTGTAACTATTGAATCCCGAGTCATCTTTTGCAATAAGGTAGGTGTAATGGAGACTGTTGAACACAAGGTGGTGATGATGTCTCACTAACATGAAGCTCGCTTTTGCTGGCCCAGCTTACATTTGGAGAGGGGAGAAGGAAATGGCAACCCACTCCAGTATTCTTGCCTGAAGAATCCCATGGACAGAGTAACCTGGTGGGCTACAGTCCACGGGGTTGCAAAGAGTCGGACACGACTGAGCAACTTCACTTTCACTTTAGTTGGTAAAGATTCCGCCTGCAATACAGGAGACCCCGGTTTGATTCCTGGGTCAGGAAGATCTGCTGGCAAAGGAATAGGCTACCCACTCCTGTATTCTTGGGCTTGCCTTGTGGCTCAGCTGGTAAAGAATCCGCCTGCAATGCAGGAGACCTGGGTTCAATCCCTGGGTTGGGAAGATCCCCTGGAGAAGGGAACGGCTGTCTACTCCAGTATTCTGGCCTAGAGAATTCCATGTACTGGGTCGCAAAGAGTCAGACATGACTGAGCGACTTTCACTTTCACTTTAGAAGGAACCTCAGATAGTGTAACATGCTCACTTTAAAATGATTAACTTATCTTTTAATGGAACCTATGACTTTATCAGTGATGGACGGTGTCTCCTAAAAAGAACTTTCTGTCATACTGTTTTCACTCGAACAAATCCATGATTTGAAACTTGGAGAATATTTGTTGTTCAGTCGCTTAGTTGTGTCCGACTCTTTGCGACCCCAGGGACTGCAGCATGCCAGGCTTCCCTGTCCTTCACTATCTCCTGGAGCTTGATCAAACTCATGTCCATTGAGTCAGTGATGCCATCCTACCATCTCATCTTCTGTCATCCCCTTCTCCTCCTACCTTCTGTTTTTCCAGCATCAGGGTCTTTTCTAACAACTCAGCTCTTTGAATCAGGTGGCCAAAGTATAAGAGTTTCAGCTTCAGCATCAGTCCTTCCAGTGAAGATTCAGGGTTGATTTCCTTTGGGATTGACTGGTTTGATCTCCTTGAAGTCCAAGGGACTCTCAAGAGTCTTCTCCAACACCATAGTTAAAAAGCATCAATTCTCCAGCGCTCTCCGCTTTCTTTATAGTCCAACTCTCACATCCATACGTGACTACTGGGAAAACCATAGCTTTGACTATATGGACATTTGCCAGCGAAGTAATGTTTCTGCTTTTTAATACGCTGTCTACGTTTGTCATAACTTTTCTTCCAAGGAGCAAGTGTTTTTTAATTTCAAGGCTGCAGTCACCATCTGCAATAATTTTGGAGTCCAAGAAAATAAAGCCTGTCACTGTTTCCATTGTTTCCCCATCTATTAGCCATGAAGTGATGGGGCCGGATGCCATGATCTTAGTTTTTTGAATGTTGAGTTTTAAGCCAGCTTTTTCATTCTCCTCTTTCACCTCCATCAAGAGGCTTTTTAGTTCCTCTTTGCTTTCTGCCATAAGGGTGGTGGTGTCTGCATATCTGAGGTTATTGATGTTTCTCCCGGCAATCTTGACTCCAACTTGTGCTTCATCCAGCCCAGCATTTCGCATGATGTATTCTGCATAGAAGTTAAATAAGCAGGGTGACAATATACAGCCTTGACATACTCCTTTTCCTATTTGGAACCAGACCATCGTCCCATGTCCATTCTAACTGTTGCTTCTTAACCTGCATACAGGTTTCACAGGAAGCAGGTAAGGTGGTCTGGTATTTCCATATCTTTAAGAATTTTCCAGTTTGTTGTGATCCACTCAAAACCTTTAGTGTAGTCAATGAAGCAGAAGAATATACTTGGTTCATTCAAACCATGTCTCCTGAATGTCTCACAAGGGAAAGTTATGTCATGAGATTTAAAATTCTAAATCTGCTCTTTCTCCAATTGATTCAAAAGAGCAGGGTTCTGTTATTTATCTTCGACAACAAAAATGAACAGTAGGGTAAAAGAACTGATGCTAGGGACTTCCCTGGTAGTCCAGTGGTTAAGACTTTGCCTTCCAATGCAGGGGTTGCAGGTTCAATCCCTGGTCTGGTAGCTAAGATTCCACATGCCTGATGGCCAAAAAATGAAAACATAAAATAGAAACAATGTTGTAACAAATTGAATAAAGACTTGGGAAAAAAAAGAATTGATGCTGTCTTATTACTACATAGAAATTCCCAAATGCCTGTTTCTTAGTCCTTCCTTTTTTTTTTTTTTAAACTCAAGAATAATATATTTTAAAAAAAAGAATAATATATTAAGTGGCTCCTATTGGAATTTTAAATCGCATTAAGTAGCTGTATTGGACTAGCATCTGAGGCAGTTTTCAAAATGATACTCACTCCATCCTCGGCTTGTGCCACCTCTGGAACACCTGCCCGGGTGGGACTGATGCCTCACTGATGCTTATCAGTGACTGGACTTGCATTGTGGTCGCTTGTTCTTTGTGCACCGACTTCCTTCTGGGCAGAGGCTCTACCTGGTTTCTCTGTGATTCCAGCACCTGCCACACAGTAAGAATGAATGAGAAGATCGAATGAGAAGATCAAATGGAATGCCTGCAAGCTTTGTGTTGATAGAAGGGCTCCTTATCCACTGGCAGCAGTTCCTGTTGTGTTTTCACTGCCTTTGGTGTTGATTTTGCTAATTCTTTGTTTTCTGGTCCTTCTTTAGAAACAAAAGTTTGAGAGAGGTGAATTTGTGGCCAGTATAGAATAGAGTGGGCTTCTGTGATGGCTCAGTGAGTGGTAAAGAATCCACCTGCCAATGCAGGAGACAGGGATTTGATCCCTGGGTCAGGAAGATCCCCTGGAGAAGGAAATAGCAACCCACTCCAGTTTTCTTGCCTGGGAAATCCCATGGACAGAGGAGCCTGGTGGGCTACAGTCCCTGGGATTGCAAAAGAGTCAGACACAGCTTAGTGATGAAACAACAACCTAGGATAGAGCCGAGCAAAGTAAACAGGTCACTAAGAAGATTAAAACTTTGATCTTAGCCATCTCTTTGTAATACTGTTAATCAACTAAGCCATTTAGGACATTTTTGATGGAAGGTGAATGCCCTTCTATCACGTTGCTTCTGCACATTTGTCTCTACCATTCAGTAATGCTGATATCTGATTTGAAAAAAATGTGTCTTGAGAAATAATGACACCAAATGTTGACACAGGGTTTTTGATTTACTGGAAAACAAAATGCTCATCTCTTTTATTAAAGATTTTCACACTCTTCCAGAAAAACATCTATTTCTGCTTTATTGACTATGCCAAAGACTTTGACTGTGTGGATCACAATAATATTCAAATTGTGACCTGGAGGAAGTACAAGCTGGAATCAAGATTGCTGAGAGAAATATCAATAACCTCAGATTCACAGATGACACCACCCTTATGGCAGAAAGTGAAGAACTAAAGAGCCTCTTGAAAGTGAAAGAGGAGAGTGAAAAAGTTGGCTTAAAGCTCAGCATTCAGAAAACAAAGATCATGGCATCAGGTCCCATCACTTCATGGCAAATAGATGGGGAAACAGTGGCTGACTTTATTTTTCTGGTCTCCAAAATCACTGCAGATGGTGATTGTAGCCATGAAATTAAAAGATGCTTACTCCTTGGAAGGAAAGTTATGACCAGCCTAGATAGCATATTGAAAGGAAAAGACATTACTTTGTCAACAAAGGTCTGTCTAGTCAAGGCTACGGTTTTTCCAGTGGTCATGTATGGATGTGAGAGTTGGACTATAAAGAAAGCTGAGCACCGAAGAATTGATGCTTTTGAACTGTGGTGTTGGAAAAAACTCTTGAGAGTCCCTTGGACTGCAAGGAGATCCAACCAGTCCATCATAGAGATCAGTCCTGGGTGTTCATTGGAAGGACTGATACTGAAGCTGAAACTCCAATACTTTGGCCACCTGATGCGAAGAGCTGACTCATACCCTGATGCTGGGAAAGATTGAGGGCAGGAGGAGAAGGGAATGACAGAGGATGAGATGGTTGGATGGCATCACTGACTCAATGGACATGAGTTTGGGTAAACTCTGGGAGTTGGTGATGGACAGGGAGGCCTGGCGTGCTGTGGTTCATGGGGTTGCAAAGAGTTGGACACAACTGAGCGACTGAACTGAACTGAATGATCTAATGTGATATACCTGGACTTCTCAAGAATGACAGGTTTGAATCCCAGAGGAAGTGAATCCTTTCCATCCTTCTGAAATAAACTGAATTCCATTCTATTTAAATAGGGAAAAAAAGGTTGTTGGAAAAGATCCATAGGTCCGTATCAGCTCTCAGCTAAGTATGTTTAGAGCTGTCAGCCCCAAAATATTTTTCTCTACAACATCACAGTTCTTGCCAGATGTCTCTTCAAGGTTTGTTTTAAAAGAAGGAAGGGAGTTCACAGACTATGCTTCCTGTATAAGAACAATCTTTGACCCTGGCAGTGGGTGGGATTCTGAAATAGTGGCATCAATTATAGTTAAGGAGTAATCCAAAAGTGCTCTACTTCTGGCAATCAGAAGCCAAGAAGGAGTTCTTTCTCCCATTAGGTTCTGAATTTTTTTTATCCATCTGTGGTTTGCTTATCTCCTGAGGTTGCCTAAGAATAAACTCAGGCAATAATCCACAGAGGTTTTTATAAGTATACACATTAAAAGAAAGCGATCAGGAAATTCCAAGGAGAAGCTCCTGAAAAGAAAATTTGTTTTCAAAATGTCCCATTTTTATGACTGGAAACAACATAAATGTGCATCCATCATAACATTCATACATAAGCATATCATAAAAATGTCACAAAAACATAACAAGTCTCCATACCATTTAAGTGTTTTGTGGGTTTTTCTTTTGTTTTCTCTGCCATTTCCTGTGAGCCATGATCATTCCTTTTGTACATCTTTTACAGTTTTCTCCCCCCAAAGGGAGCCCAGAAACATGTGCTGAGTCTCTGAAACAAGGAATCTCAAATAACATATTGAAAAGAAATATTTGATGAGGTGATTCTAAATGAAACGTGCTCTTAAAGCATATATCACCCTGTATTTGGCTGTGTGTGTGTGTGAAGTCGTTGAATAGGAGTGATGGGGTATTGCTATCGCTGTCCATGTAGGGGGCGGTAGGCAGACACCAGACCCGGAGTAAAAGGCTGTTCTGGCCCCAGCCTGGCAGCGGGGAGCCCATGGAAGGGACAGGGGAGATGTGTAAGGAAGGTGCACATCATTGAGACTACAGTCTAGGCCCACCCACTTAAAGCAAGAACTGAATAAAAAGGGACTTACCTAGTGGGCTTCCCAGGTGGCTGGCCCTAGTAGTAAAGAACCTGCCTACGAGTGGAAACAGTGACTACTTTATTTTGGGGGGCTCCAAAATCACTGCAGATGGTGACTGCAGCCATGAAATTAAAAGACGCCTACTCTTTGGAAGGAAAGTTATGACCAAAATAGACAGTATATTAAAAAGCAGAGTCATTACTTTGCCAACAAAGGTCCATCTAGTCAAGGCTATGGTTTTTCTAGTAGTCATGTATGGATGTGAAAGTTGGACTATAAAGAAAGCTGAACACCGAAGAATTGATGCTTTTGAACTGTGGTGTTGGAGAAGACTCTTGAGAGTCCCTTGGACTGCAAGATCCAACCAGTCCATCCTAAAGGAGATCAACCCTGAGTGTTCATTGGAAGGACTGATGCTGAAGCTGAAACTCCAATACTTTGGCCACCTGATGTGAAGAGCTGACTCATTGGAAAAGACCCTGATGCTGGGAAAGATTGAGGGCAGGAGGAGAAGGGGACGACAGAGGATGAGATGGTTGGATGGCATCACCGACTCAATGGACGTGAGTTTGGGTAAACTCCGGGAGTTGTTGATGGACAGGGAGGCCTGGTGTGCTGTGGTCCATGGGGTCGCAAAGAGTTAGACACGACTGAGTGACTGAACTGAACTGAACCAACGTGAGAGATATAAGAGATGTGGGTTCGATCCCTGGGTTGGGAAGATTCCATGGAGTAGGAAATGACAACCCACTCCATTATTCTTGCCTGGAGAATCCCATGGACAGAGGAGCCTGGTGGGCTACAGTCCAGAAGGTGACAAAGAGTTGGACACGATTAAAGGAACTTAGCGCGCATGTACCTAAGTGTCCAGTGCTTAAGGTTCTGCACTCCCAGTGCAGGAACTAAGATCCTGCATGCTGCATGGTGCAGTCAAAGGAGAAAAAAAAGAATTGAATAAATAAAGAGCAACCCTGAGTTTGGGAGATGGGGAAAGGGAGGGCACCCATGCTCACAGCCCACATTCAGTGCTGCCAGATTTGTGGCCCACCTCCTGGCCAGATCCTCTGGTCTGGTCACCCCGAGGTATATCCCTGCACAAACTAGGCATGCTGTGCAGCCACTAGTGTAGCATAGACCTTACAACAGTGGTTTGTTGTTGTTTAGTCGCTAAGTCCTGTCCAACTCTGTGACCCCATGGACTGTAGCCCACCAGGCTCTTCTGTCCATAGGATTTCCCAGGCAAAAATACTAGAGTGGGTTGCCATTTCTGATTAGCAGTGATAAAAAAAAAAAAATTCACATATTGCAGTCTGGGGAAGTCATTCTGGCTTACACATGACATAACTTGAATTTTATGCTAACTAAAACAGCCTTGTTTGTGGTATATCAAACATACATTGTACATCTGCTTTAATGATTAAGAAAAGGGTACACTGACCCAAAGGAAAGAATGTCCATGTGAAAAGTAAAGACTCAACGTCTCCCTTCCTTCAGTGCTGATATTCCATCAATGATAAAACTCACCTCCCAGGTGCCAAGGTCAAACTGACTTGCTGTGTACGTGCTTTTTAAAAAAAACAAAACCTTGAAGGAATGTATCCCTGACTTGTTGAGTGCTCTTTGTTCTGTGTGTGTTTTAGTTGCTCAGTTGTGTATGACTCTTTGTGACCCCATGGACTGTAGCCCGCCAGGCCCCTCTGTCCACGGAATTCTCCAGGCATGAATACTGGTGTGGGTCGCTATTCCCTTCTCCAGGGGATCTTCCCAACCCAGGGATCGAATCTGGGTCTCCCGAGTTCAGGCCGAGTCTTTACTGCCTGCGCCACCAGGGATTCCCTCTTTGTTCTGACCACATGTAAAACTGCTGAAAACCATCTCTCCAGAGCAGTTCTTCAGAGTTTTCTGTGATGCTGTCTTCCACGCTATCGTCCTTAGTGTGGCTCAGATAAATCTCTTCCATTCCTATGATAGAATATTGATTATGTTCTTTGACAGCAGCATAGGCCACTGCCTCGCGGGCATCTGTGGTCCGTGCCAGGCCCTGTGACGCGGTAGTGGCTCTGCAGACTTGATAGAAGGACTAGACAGATCCAGAGCCTTGGAATGGCTGGAGGCTGCACTTCCCCTGTCAGCCACAAGGGGGCTCCCACTGGCGTCCACAGCTAACCCCACGGAGGCATTGAAGGGTCCATTGCTTCCTGTGGGAGGCCAACCTGAAGAGGAACTCTGCCAGGGGCGTCCACCTCCATGGAACGCTTATGGAGATCTGTCACTTCAATTGCACTCTTGTTCACAAAGTGAAAGTGTTAGTCGCTCAATTGTGTCTGACTCTTTGCGATGCCATGGACTATAGCCAGGCTCCTCTGTCCATAGAATTCTCCAGGCAAGAAGACTAGAATGGGTTTCCATTCTCTTCTCCAGGGGATCTTCCCAACCCAGGGATTGAACCCAGGTCTAAACTGCATTGCAGGCAGACTCTTTACCACCTGGGCCACAGGTACTGCATAGTAGTGGTTAGTGGCTCCATGGCCTCCGAAATGGCCAACCAGCTTGCCACTGGCCCAGAAGGTTAAGTTCCATAACCTGTCACCATCGGTTCTGTGGCCACTTCTTTGGGACCTCAAGGCCCCCTGGTCCAATCTCTGTCTTGAACCTGCCCTCAGAAGAAAAGATGTTGACCCGATGGTTATCATAGTCTACCACAATAAGGCCTCCATTGGTGTTCATGCCACCCCTGTGGGAACTGCATTTGCCCACATGAGGCCCTTGGATCCCCAAGGGGAAACTGAACTTGTCATCAGTGGAGAATCCTGGATACAGTGGTTGCTGCCGCCTGCACCTAGCTGTGGACACACCCCGTAAGTAGATGGATTCAGGCTTCATATGTGATTGCCAGTAAGGCTAACGGGCCATCCTCAGTAGGGCTGTCCTTCCACTTGCCACCCTTGCGCTGCATGGAACTGGGCCTTGGCTGGTGGCGGGGACTGAGCGCTGGACTTCACATTGTCCCAAGAAAGTGACAGGTCCCAAGATGCCAGGAACACACACTGCTCGGCTAACATTTTTTATTTATTTGGCCACCAGGCACGTGGCATCTTAGTTCCCCAACCAGGGATTGAACCTGCACCCCCTGCATTGGAAGATGGGGGTCTAATGGACCACCAAGGAAGACCCAGGCTAACATTTTTAAATGCACCAAAATCTAAGACTGACACTCAGGCCAGTTAAAAGGAAATTCCTTCCAAAACATGACGTTAACCATGTGTGTTTTAAGGAGAGGAAAATAACTAATTCAATAAAGGAGAACTTTTTTTTTCTTCCTTAAAATAAAGGATTAGGTCTTTAATTATAGATTCTCATAAGGAAGGAAAAAATTCTCTTTGATCTACTGTATCCTCCCAGAATAGGAGATTCTTTCAAGTGGCATGTTCCACATAAGTTCTTGAGGTTAATGAAAGAAGCTCTTTTGAAGCTGGTGTCTGGTTCTATCCTACAGGCATGCCCCCACTTTTTTAAATTGGAGTATAGCTAATTTACAATGTTGTGTTAGTTTCACATGCATAGCAAAGTGAATCAGTTATACATATACATACAGCCATTCTTTCTTAGATTCTTTTCCTATATCGGTTATTACACAGGCATCGCCCTTGAGGAGAAATGTCTTTGCCCCAAATGTACATGGTTTAATCCAAATAATATAGGTCCCTCCATCCCATTCCTCTTGAAAACTGCATGAGCAGAGAGGAAAGAGATTAAATTTAGATTTTTCTTTTCTGGGAAACCTAACTTTAAAAAAAAGTAGATTAAATTGATTTTTTAGGAAAGATGGTTCAGTTGTGCATCCTAACTGAAAGGGCAGATAAAATCTAAACATTAAAGATCTCAACATTATTTTCATTTGTTATATTTATCTTTGCAAAGCTACTTCCTCAATTATGTTCCATTTAACCTAATGGAAAACTGTTTTGCACTCCTTGGTCCATACATTAAATTTTTGCTTGAAAAAAACTGCCTTGATCTAGCTAATAATTATTTTCATTGAAAATTTTAATGCAGCCTTATAAACTAGTTTAAATAAGAAAGCTGTTAGAAAAATGTTTAAGTTTGATGCTTTTGGAAGCAAGTCAAGTTAAGCAAGAGTGGATTCTGTCTTGGTCTTCAGCCAACAGGGCCAAGTATTTTGAGTTCAGAAGAATGGATTTGTGTCAATTCCGTCATTGACTGGCTGTGCAAACTCTGATTTGTTTAATGTCTCCACACCTCAATGACTTTATCTACAAGGTAGAAAAGATCATTTCTATACTGTCTATCTGCATAAATGTAAGAGAACTAACTGTGTAAGAAACTTTAGGGACTTCCCTGATGGTCCAGTGGTTTAAGACTCTACGTTGCAGGGGGCTCAGGTTCCATCATGCAGGGTGGCCAAAAAAATAATTTTTTTTTTTAAGGGACAGTGCTTTGTAAATTAAAACTCTGTATCAGTGATCGTTAACATTTTGTTGTCTGGATTCCTTCAAGAAAATGAAAAATAAATGCTTTCCTATACATTTCTCACACACCCCCCAAAGCACTTAAAAATAAACTCAATATCTTGATTTCACTTATAATTGGGAGCTGGATGGGGAGGGAATGATTTGAAATCCCTGTACCACAAGTTAAGAACTTCTGCTTAGGACCAGAGTAAGATGGTATTCATGAATTCAACAAATTATTAACCTCCAACCTCAGGCCAGGGTCAGCATGACAACGTAACAGCAGTGAACAAGACAAAGATACCCCCCTTAAGAAGTGAAAGCAGACACTACAGATAAATTAATTTAGGAAATGAGGCCGAGAGTGGTGGGGTGTTGTAGCTTTAGGTAGTACAGTGGTTAGGGAAGGCCAGCCTTCAGGAGATGCACCTGAGTTGAGAGCAATGAGGAGGCAGGCTTGTGAAGATCTAGGAAAAGAATGTTCTGAGCAATTTTGTTGTTGTTCAGTTGCTAAGTCATGTCTGACTCTTTGCAACCCTACAGATTGCAGCACACCAGCCTCTTCTGTTCTTCACTATCTCCTGGAGTTTGCTCAAATTCATGTCCATTGGGTCGGTAATGCTGTCTAACATTCTCTGACGCCCCCTTCTCCTTTTGCCCTCAATCTTTCCCAGCATCAGGGTCTTTTCCAATGAGTCAGCTCTTCACATCAGGTGTCCAAAGTATTGGAGCTTCAGCTTCAGCATCAGTCCTTTCAATGAATATTCAGGAAATGCAAGAGCTCTGGGACAGAAATGAACTTGGTCTGTTTGAGGCTACTTGTATAAATTGCAGTATATCCTGTATAAGGCCACTAGGTCTGAAATGTAGTGGATGGAGGGGAAGAGGTTTGAGCTGAGATCAACAAATTAGACAGAAGTCTACTAAGAAGTAGACCACTTTTAGAAAAAGAGACACTTGAGGGTTTTAAGCAGAGAAATGATAAAAATCAGATTTGTTTTTAGTTGAGAAGGATCTGTTGAATGGGAAATGGACTGTAGGGTGTGTAAGTTTATAGGACATGATGTGAAGACTGGCCTCCCCCTCTGCCTGCCTCCCACTGTAAATTTTTGGCCCAAGCAACTTGATGAATGCCCCTGACGTTTACCTGTGGCATCTCTCACCTGTGGAATGCTGGAGCCCAGCGATGAGAGAGGTATTAAATTCTATTCTCCTAGACTGTACTGTATTATGTAGCCAGTAATGACTGTTACCGTCTTTTCCTGTTTTGTCATGATTTAAACAAAAGTAATCATGGGTAATGGCAACTTCGGGGGGGTCCCTAATCCTGTTACAGTTATAGTAGTGGGTTCTCCCAGGAAGACCAAGGGGTAACACACTTCAGAGGCTTGCACATTACCCCCAAAATGACCTGAATATTAACCTGTAAATATATATTTGTTGTTGTTCAGTCGCTAAGTTGTGTCTGACTTTTTGCAACCCCATGAACTGCAGCACACCAGACAAGCAAAACTTTCCTTAGCGCCTTCTACTTTTCACGTGTCTACAGAGGTTACTGCTTTCATATCAGGTTATGATGGGTAGAATGTTCCTTTGGGTCATGTTTTTCCAATTGCAAAAAAAAAAAAAAAAATTTTTAATATAAATTTGCTAATTTTGTTTGGACCTCTACTGTTGGTGTGGGGGGTATTCATGCCAAGGTGATGTAATCAAAGTTAAATGCACTCATGCATGTGTGTTCAGTGTCTGACTCTTTGTGACCCCATGGACTAGGGCCCCGCTAGCCTCCTCTTCAAGGAGATTTCCCAGGCAAGAATACTGGAGGGGGTTGCCATTTTCTCTCCAGGGGATCTTCCCGACCCAGGGATTGAATCCACATCTCCTGCCTGGGAAGCCCAAATGCACTCATATAGAAAGAGATAAATGAAATATTAGTATGTGATGTCCATATCATATGTATTACTAATAAAAACATTTAAGAAGTGCTTTTCACATAAAATTAAAAATTATACACTATTAAATACCTTTTACTCTGTGTTGCTATTTTAGAAATGCTCATTTTATTCATTTAAAAAATATTCTGCAGTTCTCTTGCCTGCATTTAACACAGAAGTTTAATATTTAATGGCTTCATACAGAGACTAAAGCCAGGTTACTTTTATACAGCAGTGGAAACTAGGTTTCCTTGTGCTTTTGTTAAATTAAAAGCATTCATAATTATTTCTCAAAAGAGTTAGTCATTAATTAAGGTTTATGAAGTCCTTAGGGAGTTTCATAAGGAAATAAAACAAGTCTCATAGGCCCTGTAACATGGAAACCTAGATTTGAAGAAATTAGTAGGATTGCCAATTAAGCATGAATCTTGGTAGTTTTAAATATTTAGTCAATTCTGACCAATGCAGAAAGTAAGAGGAAAGAGAATCAAATTCATCAATGAAATGAAGATGCACGTGACCATAGCCAGGTGGATAGATGTACAGGTGAATGAAATAGAACTCTCCAGTTATTGCCAGGAGCTATTAATATGATGACTAAAAACATTATTACCACCACCACCAGTACATTAAAGCCTTATTTATTTAAAAAAATTGTTTTCGAAGGGAACTTAGAGTTTTCTTTTTTCACTGAATGGTACTAGATGTTTTGTTTGTTTTGATCAGGGAAGTCTCTGAGAAAGTTCTCCAAATAAACACTTAATGCTACTGGAAATAGGCACAGACAATAGGCCTTTGAAAGAAAAGAGCACTTAAAATTTGTTTTCTCCTAGTTATAAAGTAATACTTCCTTACCATAGAAAATCTGGAAAACACGGAAAATTATGGTTCGTTTTTGTGACTCTTTTCTCTTTTTTTTTCCTCTTATTTTTATATAAGTGACTCTTAATCATGCCACCAAGAGATGGCTACTGTTAACACCGTTTCATCATCAGCTAATGATTCATGGTGGTATGAACTGTGTTGGTTTCAGTTCATCACTGTATCCCTACTGCCCAGCACAGCACCTGGCATAGATGACATTTAATTGCTATTTATTGAATGAATTACTCCATCAACGTCTCTCTCTAGCCTTTTTATGCAGACATTAGCTTGTCTGTTAATAACATGGAGTCCATATTGTACTTATTATCTCCTGAGATTTTTCTCATGATGTCAAATCTCTTTCCACATAAAGTATGATTTTTCATAAAGTATAATGTTCCATCCAGTATCATACTTCATTTA